TGACATACAGAGATCAGAATTTAGATATTAGAAGGATATTTTTATATTTTCCTATATAGTTTGTGCTTTTTGTGTCTTAATAAAGTCTTTTATTTTTTAAATTATTTTATTCAACTTTATTTAATTTTGACCAGAGAGAGAGAGAGCAAGCCACCAAGTCCAGGACTTGAACCGCGATTGGACATATGGAGTACAGTATCCCCAACCACCACGCCATCTGCTGGCCCCAGTCTTTTATTCTTTTAATGTCAGAAAGATGTTTTCTTTTAAATATTTGGCTTTTTTACATTCAGTCTTTGATTTACCTAGAATTTATTTTGTACTGTGAGATAGGGCCCTAATTCCCCCTGCCTTCACCCCTGTGGGCAGCCAGTTGCCCAGGATTGTTTCTATTAGTTCACCTTTTTCTCATTGATGTGTAAGGATGTCTCTGTACTGAGTTTCATAGATTCATCGAGTGCTTCTGTAATCAGTTTCTCATTTCATCATATCTTTTCTGCATTTAGTCCCATCTCTTTGTTTTTAAATTAATTTTGACCAGAGAGAGAGAGAGCAAGCCACCAAGTCCAGGACTTGAACCGCGATTGGACATATGGAGTACAGTATCCCCAACCACCACGCCATCTGCTGGCCCCAGTCTTTTATTCTTTTAATGTCAGAAAGATGTTTTCTTTTAAATATTTGGCTTTTTTACATTCAGTCTTTGATTTACCTAGAATTTATTTTGTACTGTGAGATAGGGCCCTAATTCCCCCTGCCTTCACCCCTGTGGGCAGCCAGTTGCCCAGGATTGTTTCTATTAGTTCACCTTTTTCTCATTGATGTGTAAGGATGTCTCTGTACTGAGTTTCATAGATTCATCGAGTGCTTCTGTAATCAGTTTCTCATTTCATCATATCTTTTCTGCATTTAGTCCCATCTCTTTGTTTTTAAATCTTTCTCACTCATTCAGTCCACTCACTTGGTCAGGAAATGACTGAGTGCCTGTTATGTGCCAGCCACACAGTGAGGCACTGAGACACAGCTGGACATGAACGTCACTGCTTAATGCAGCTCAGGCGCCAGTGGGGAGACACTGTCCAACAGATTGATACGTCCAAGGACTATGGTAGGTAGGAGAGAATATAGTCGTCCCTTGGTATTTGTGGATTCATTCCAGCAACCCATGGATACCAAAATCCAAACATGCTCAGGTCTCTCACGTAAAATGGTGTAGTATTTTCATATTAGACCCCCACGTAAGAGTCTTCAAAAAGCTAACAGAAAAATGTATATTATGAAAAACTGTCCCTGGATCTTTACATTTTTTGCACCAAAATAAACTCTATTTTTCCATGGACCTTTTTTTTCTCTCTTTTTCTTTTCTTTCTTTTTTTCTTTTTCTTTTGAGACAGATTTTTGCTATAGGATGCATGTGTTCATGGAGAGGCAAAAGGTGAGAAATCACCCCCCAGGAGGGATGGCCTTGCCATAATCCCTTCTCCTTTAGTCTCCTCTTTCAGTTTTGGGCATGTATGCATACACGCCTGGCGTGAGTTTCAAGCTGCTAGATCCGGAATTCACACCGGGGTTGACTATGTGCGAGTCCAGCACCTTAACCACTGCACCATCTGCGGTCCCTCCATGGACTTCTTAAGAGAGTGAAAGCACCTCTACCCTCAATGGGGCTTGATCACACTGTATTCCTATTTCCTCCAGTTCTCTATCCTATCAGGATCCTGGGCACCTGGTATTTTTGAAGCTACAGGGGCTGAGATTCAAACCCTGGTCAGCCATGTGAGGTCAAGACCAGATTTCTACAAACTTTTTTTAATTGCCAGAGGGCACGTGCACTTGTCAGAGAGAAAGAGGCAGGGAGAGGGGAAAGCACCTCCACCATGGGGCATAGTTACTCTGAGCCCTTTCTGCTTCATTTATCCATCTTGTCAGATTTGGGGCATGCACATGCACAGGTGCCCAGTGTGATGTTTAAGCTGCTAGGGCTGCGATCCAAATCAGCTGGCCATGTGGGATCTGGTTCCCTTAACCACAAGGCTCCAGAGCCAGCCCCCTCATTGAACTTCGTGAAGTTCCTTCATGTATGGCAGATTCTTCACGTAACCACAATACTTGTACTCTTCAAGTCCTAAACTTTCCTTGTTTCTCCTTGGCATGACTGGCCATAGACATTTACTCTTCATCTTCCTTTTATGTGTTCAGTCACTTAAGTCTTTTTTTTCTCTTTTTTTTTTTTTTTTTGGTCTTCTGCATTTTGATCTCTCTCCTTTGATTTGGCTCTACTTTTATTATCCTGGAGCTTTGTATCTTTTTTATCCCTGTTGTATTAGTGGTGTTTTGGGAAGGAGTCGAGATAAGTGTATGTGTTTAATCCAGAATGGTAAGTCTACACACAAGTGGTATTTAAAGAGCTCATGGAAGATACATGTTATGAAAAAACTACATATGGATTTCAAAAATTTTTTGCACCAAAATAAACTCATACTTTAATTCATTTTGTGTGTTTTTAGTCAGTAGAGGATGCATGTGCTCACCAGAGATAAAAAGCACCCCCTAATGGAGTATGCAGTCCTTTTTCCTCCATTTCTCCTTTCTGTTGGGTTTTTGGAGACATATACCCGACATGTTTTTCAAGCCTCCAGAGCTGGGATTTGAAGCAATTGGTTGACCATGTTCCGGCTTCCTATCGCATAGGGCTTAACCACTGCACCAAGGGGCTGGACCTTTTAATTTTTTATGAACGTTTTGAAAGATCCTTAAATTTATTTATTCTTTTTTTGGCCAGGGCACAGGTGCCCTTCATTAGAGGGAGATAAGAAGATAGGAAATGGGCATGCACGTATGCACACAAGCTGCCGGGCTTAACACTTGAACTGCACAGTCTTATGTGGGATATGGCTGCTCTAACCATGTACTTGTAACACCTAATGCTGTGTAAATGTTCCATAGTCGTTACACTGTATCCGTTAGGGAATAATGGCAAGGGGAAGGAACTACAGTACACAGCAACACTTTGAAGCAGCTGTGGTTGGAGTCAGTGAACTGGCTCAATCAACTAGCCATGGATGTGGAACCCCCAGATATGGAGGACTGACTTTATAGGGAATACGATGTTTGCAGGAACATCAATTCTAGTTTTGCACAAGTCAAATGCCTTAATTCCTGATTTACACAGACGCTGAGGCCACCCCTCAAAATCAGCAGAAACTGGGCTTTTGCTGTATTGGCCCATGTACTTTCTGCTCTGGGTTTTGGTTTACTCCTCATTTTTAGCCCTTGGGATATCCTTCTCTTGGGAGCTCAGCTCTGCATGTAAGATGTTTATTAGACTGATGTCATCTGACATTTGGCTATCTGAAGCAGAAGGACTTCAGATCATTGGTTGTATTACTGGAACTAAAAGCCTTGGGTTAGATTCTGCTTTACTCACTCCACCAAAACCACCTGTGACTCTGGAAATGCGGACTTGCTGACTAGCAGAGGTTCAGTTTAATGGGCCTAGCTGCCATGGCTGAGGGAGGTGCAACTGCAAGGTAGCGAAGGGTTTCTGGGTTCTCCTCTCGGGATCTTGGGCACGCACGCACACGCGCTGGTTCCCATTACTCCACTTTTTAGTAAAGTAATAAAAGCTGTAGTAATTGAGAACCAGCAGTTAGTGTAATGGCTATGTCGCTGGACTCCCACGTAGTCGACCGCAGTTCGCATCCTAGACCTGGTGGCTTAGAACTCACGCCAGGCGCGTGTGCGTGTGTGCCCAAGATCCCGAGAGGAGAATGGAGGAGAAGGGATTGCGGCGTGACCATCCCCCCTGGGGGGTGATTTCTCGCTTTCTGTCTCTATGTCTCTCTGTCTGTCTGGCGAGCGCACGCGCCCTATAGCGAAAACCTCTTAAAAAAAAAAAAAGTGGACTAACTCTTCTTTAAATCTGCCTTGTGACTTTACATTTCAGGATTCTAGATGAACTTTCTTTATTGCTTTTATTTATATATTTATTTATTTTTTTTTTTGGAGAGGTTTTTGCCATAGGGCGTGTGCGCTTGCCAAAGAGAGAGAGAGAGAGAGACAGAAAGCTAGAAATCACTCCCCCAACCCCACCCCCGGGGGATGGCCACGCTGCAGTCCCCTCTCCTCCTTTCTCCTCTCGGGCACGCACGCACACGTGTCCTACGTGAGTTTAAACCACCTGGTCCAGGACTCAAACCCCGGTCAACTACATGGGAGTCCAGTGGCATAGCCATTACGCTAACTGCTGGTCTCTATTGCTTTTTTTTTTTAATATCTTAAAGATTTTTCATTGGCTCTAGACTTGTTAACTCATTCTTTTTTTGGGTTTATGAACTGTTTATTTTAGAAAAAATACTGCTACACATTTTAATTGACATGTGGATTCTTAACCTACTCAAAATGTCTCCTTACAGTGTAAGGTTAATAAGAATATACTGGGGATGGCAGGTGGTGTGGAGGTTAAGGCACTGGACTCATATGTCTGACCATGGTTGAAGTCCTGGACCTGAGAGCTCGCTTTCTTACTCTCTCTAAATATATTTAATTTAAATAAAATGAAATAATTGTTTTAAAAAATAAAAGTATACTAAGTGACATGAAGCATTCAACGAGTTCCATATTGTTAAAATGTGGGGTCCTAGGGACAAAAATTATTAGGGGGCTGGCTCCATAGCACAGTGGTTAGGTGGGTGCTATGCAGAAGCAGCCAGATCTCACATGGCCAAGGTTGAAGTCCTGGCCCCTTCACCTGAATAAGGTGCCAGGCTTGTGTGCATGCTCAGGATCCTGATGAGATAAAGAATTGGAGGGAGAAAGATTCTGGCATGGCTGGGACCCATTGGGGGTGTATATGCATATGCATGCTCTTTCTGTCTTAGCCACACACATCCTTTGGCATAAAAAAGAAACAAACAAACAAACATTAGGCAATGATAGTGCTCTCAGCCTGGTTTCCCAGTGTCTGTTACATTCCTGCAGTGCTCTTCTTTCCTTCTTAGTGGAAGAGAAAGCCAATACCCACCTCCTGCTGGGCATGTGCCTGGACTCCTGTGCTCGCTACCTTCTGTTCTCCAAGCAGCCATCACAGGCACAAAGGATGTATGAGAAAGCTCTGCAGATTTCTGAAGAAATACAAGGAGAAAGACACCCACAGGTAGGGGAAGAAAACACAGAAGAGGGGCTGTAAAGAAAGGCTTCAGAACTGGTGAGTGAGGTGCCATGCTCACTGGAAACAGAATCAGATGATCCAGGTGTGTCCTCCTTGCACACCAGTCCATCTATTTCCTTACCGCCAGCCCTCCCTCCTCCCCAACTACTCATTTTGAAAATGGTTTGAGACTGTTGATCAGTTACAGGTCTGCCCAGAACCTGTCACATGAGCCATGGTCTGCACAGCAGACCAGCCTTTCTGTTGGTCTCCAGACATCTTGAGCTCCCATGGCTTCAGAGCACAGCACTTTCAGGTGGGGCCTGTGGAGCCCTCAGGAAACACTTTTCACAGACCATGTTTCTATGTGTGTATCTGTGCCTTCTTTGCCATGGGACTACATTTTTAAAAAGCTTTTAAACCACTGACATATTATGCAATTAAACACACAAAGCTTTGTGTGAAAACACTATAAACACACTGAATTAAAACAGTCTGTCTCTCTTCTATCAAAGTAAATCCCAGAGGCAAGAACTGGAATATTTTGATGTGAATGCTTGTTACCTCCAACGTAAAACACAGTAATTTTAACTAGGTTGAATGTATTCAAGGCTGGGTAGGTAGGAGGGGAGGAATGTTTCAGAAGGTGAATTATGAATTATTTCCAGGAAAGGGATTTAAGATTTTTATGGAAGAACAGCAAGGTGTGATGAGAATGTAAGCACAGATGTCGGTGTTTAATCATGATCTCGGTGGGGAAGCCTGCTTCTTCTCATATGTCTGACCATGGTTGAAGTCCTGGACCTGAGAGCTCGCTTTCTTACTCTCTCTAAATATATTTAATTTAAATAAAATGAAATAATTGTTTTAAAAAATAAAAGTATACTAAGTGACATGAAGCATTCAACGAGTTCCATATTGTTAAAATGTGGGGTCCTAGGGACAAAAATTATTAGGGGGCTGGCTCCATAGCACAGTGGTTAGGTGGGTGCTATGCAGAAGCAGCCAGATCTCACATGGCCAAGGTTGAAGTCCTGGCCCCTTCACCTGAATAAGGTGCCAGGCTTGTGTGCATGCTCAGGATCCTGATGAGATAAAGAATTGGAGGGAGAAAGATTCTGGCATGGCTGGGACCCATTGGGGGTGTATATGCATATGCATGCTCTTTCTGTCTTAGCCACACACATCCTTTGGCATAAAAAAGAAACAAACAAACAAACATTAGGCAATGATAGTGCTCTCAGCCTGGTTTCCCAGTGTCTGTTACATTCCTGCAGTGCTCTTCTTTCCTTCTTAGTGGAAGAGAAAGCCAATACCCACCTCCTGCTGGGCATGTGCCTGGACTCCTGTGCTCGCTACCTTCTGTTCTCCAAGCAGCCATCACAGGCACAAAGGATGTATGAGAAAGCTCTGCAGATTTCTGAAGAAATACAAGGAGAAAGACACCCACAGGTAGGGGAAGAAAACACAGAAGAGGGGCTGTAAAGAAAGGCTTCAGAACTGGTGAGTGAGGTGCCATGCTCACTGGAAACAGAATCAGATGATCCAGGTGTGTCCTCCTTGCACACCAGTCCATCTATTTCCTTACCGCCAGCCCTCCCTCCTCCCCAACTACTCATTTTGAAAATGGTTTGAGACTGTTGATCAGTTACAGGTCTGCCCAGAACCTGTCACATGAGCCATGGTCTGCACAGCAGACCAGCCTTTCTGTTGGTCTCCAGACATCTTGAGCTCCCATGGCTTCAGAGCACAGCACTTTCAGGTGGGGCCTGTGGAGCCCTCAGGAAACACTTTTCACAGACCATGTTTCTATGTGTGTATCTGTGCCTTCTTTGCCATGGGACTACATTTTTAAAAAGCTTTTAAACCACTGACATATTATGCAATTAAACACACAAAGCTTTGTGTGAAAACACTATAAACACACTGAATTAAAACAGTCTGTCTCTCTTCTATCAAAGTAAATCCCAGAGGCAAGAACTGGAATATTTTGATGTGAATGCTTGTTACCTCCAACGTAAAACACAGTAATTTTAACTAGGTTGAATGTATTCAAGGCTGGGTAGGTAGGAGGGGAGGAATGTTTCAGAAGGTGAATTATGAATTATTTCCAGGAAAGGGATTTAAGATTTTTATGGAAGAACAGCAAGGTGTGATGAGAATGTAAGCACAGATGTCGGTGTTTAATCATGATCTCGGTGGGGAAGCCTGCTTCTTGAGTACCAAAACATTGTAAGCTCTTGATGAGGTTTCCTTAAAATAGATGATACGCTGCTTCCTTGATGGGCCTTTGGGTTACCAGCAGGAGTAACACGATATAGTAAGGCTCCAGAGTGTCAACTCCAAGGAGGTTGACTTCTCAAACTTTCTGAACCTTCATTAGAATCGTATTGTAGCTGCTGCTTGTCATTTTTCATTTGGAGCTTCTGATTTGACAGTCAGTTGGACTACTCCCTGATTTCCAGACTTACTCATTTTCCAGAGGGTCAAGCTGACGTCTACTGTCCAACATGAATATCCAAGTGCCCACAATTTACCTTTTGTGGAATGTGAGGAAAGTTCACAAACATCAAATTAACTTTCTGTGTGGATGTCTGTAAAGTAAAAGGTGTCTGATCTTTTCCCTCTTGGACAGACCATTGTGCTGATGAGTGACCTGGCCACGACCCTGGATGCACAGGGCCGCTATGAGGAGGCCCACGTTTACATGCAGAGGGCATCAGATCTGGCCCGACAGATCAACCATCCTGAGCTGCATATGGTGCTCAGCAACCTCGCTGCAGTTCTGATGCACAGGGGTAGGTGGCCGTGGAAGGCTGGGTGGCCCTGTTTCGGTGGGGGGATGGCACTGGGTCTAGACATCTATGAAACGTGTTTAGTGAGGGCAAGGGGCAGTGAGGAGACTCAATGAAATGCTGGTCATGTAAGGGCAGAAAAGAGATGCATGTCAGGTTGTGCCACTGAGCTCAGTTCACCCACCTCCTGTAGTCCTGCAGTAGCATGTCCAACCACACAAAGCTCAAGCAGGGTGCAGTTAGAATGCTGAATTTCTCTAGCACCTCAGTCTGTTAATTGTGCCCACAGTTAGTTTCTCACGAAGAGCTGGTGACACTGGCAAGGTAGAGAGTGTAGGTTTGGCAGAGTTCTGAGGGTCAGCACACTCTGCCATGCTGATTGGGGCCTTACTGTAATTTTCAGAAACCTGGGGTGACAGGTCTCCTATTACATCCATCACTTTCGGTGAAATCCTGGCTAATCGAGTGAGGGCCCGGATGCACTGGGGTGAGGGGTGGTGGTGGCGGGCAGGGATTCCACATTGGGTCAGGTTCCAGCCTCCCTAGGCCAGCTGGTCAAATGGGAGTGAAATGAGCCTGTCCTAACAAGTACATGGTAAATAGACCTGTATCCTCATCTAGTGCTTTCTCTTCAAAATCACTTTGCAAACATCCGTTTTCTTCTTTTCCCTCTCTCTGGGTTATTTTAGAACGATACACACAAGCCAAGGAGATCTACCAGGAAGCACTGAAGCAAGCAGAGCTGAGAGGAGATGAGGTTTCTATACAGCACATCAGGGAAGAGTTGCTGAGCTGTCGAAAAAAAGTAGACCTTTGACCTAACAATATCAAGCTCTAAATCCATTTTTGTTTTAAGGAGAGTAATTTTTAGTAACCCAGAGGAGTAGCTATTGTTCCAGTCTCTTTGACACCCAAATCAATGTCTGATTAAATCCTTGATCTTGGTATTCAGGTTTCTTCAATTTAGCCTTGGTGAAGGACAAGCTGGATATACTGCCACTTTTGTTCTGTAAGGAAAAATACTTTCATCCCCAAGTGATTATGACCTCTGAGGACTGATGTCAAGTGATGCTTTCAGAATGCGTGGCCAGGTGCTGTCCGTGTTGGTCTTGGTGTATTACAGGTAGTGACGAGCCAGCTTTTTTCTGGGGCCTGGATTTGGCAGTCCAGCCTGGCCTCTCTACAGTAAGATTTTGGTCCACTGATCTGCTGCTCTTTCTTCTCTTACTTTATCACTGTCTGGCAGAGCAGAGCAGAGCTACCTGTCTCGTGGAAAAAAGAGATGATGGTGAGTTGTTTTTATGATCTACTTCATGAAGCAGTGTGGGATTTAATGCATAATGGAGAAAAAATGGTGTATTTGTTTACCAGCAGCACCCAGCATGTAGTTCAGAATGGGAATTAGGCATTTGAAAAGAAGTGGACCACCCGTGAGATTATAAATCCAAGGGAGGGGGTAAATGTAACTTTTCAGCAGTGGGGGGCAGGGGAGGGATGGCCTGACCTTGTCAGTGCTGTCTGAGCACGTGACTCCCTTTGCAGCTTCAGTCTCACATGGGTCATCTGAGGTAGGTACTCTCAAAAGGCATATATGCCTGGGCTGCACCCTAGATCTTGTCTCAGGACCAGTCCCCCAAGTGTGGTATTGAAAAACTGCTAGTAATTCCAGTTCATGCTGCTGGTATTGTGGAAACCATGGATCCAGATCCTAGGCCTAGTTTATATCTTTATCAAGTGAGGGAAAAAACGAGAACTTCCTAGCTATGGGAGGTGGTATTTGGTCAGATAATTTTAAATGAGAAGATTGTTATGTTGGAATTTTATCACACTGCCTCAAAGTATGTGGACACAGGACACAGGTAGACGTGTTTACCTCATAGTCTTACATGTAGCTGTTTTGCCTAGGGGAAAGAACAGTTTTTCTAGGTGCCAAGAAGGAACACTGACACTATGCCCGTGGGGGTGGTGGAACCCATACACTGCTATTTTTGGCTCATGTGTACATACTGGAAGAGGCTTTTCATAATAAATTATAGATGTTATACAAAGATATTGTATGTATTCCAGTAATCTTTGAGTTTCTTATTGAAAAATAATTTACTGAGTTAATAAAATACTGGACACCCTGGGGTCCAAATCCTCAGGGATTACACCAAATTAGAATTTCGTATGTTAGAGATGTAAATTTCTTCCCGTTTTCTATGTAAACTCATTTCGTATTTATTTAACACACAGCTGATTGCTTTAAGTCTAACTCAGATAAATCAGATTGATTTTCAATCCAACCCAGTCTTAATTTATTGGGATTTTTTAAAAAATGTCAGCCACTCACCTTTCACATTGAGAATGTGTTTACCTTTTCACAATTGGAGGGGTTATTGAAAGATTGGTTTTTCACTCCACGTTTTATTTAAGAATTTTTAATTCTCCACAATGATTCAGCTCATGGTCCCGCTGTTGGAAAAACTAGTTTTCAGAAAGATAGACTCCTCATGTGGGTGTTCTCATTAAAGTTCATTTGTACTGTTGTTAAACAAGGGAGTGAAGCGAAAGCAAGACTGATCCCCTTTACTGATGGGTCTGAATTAAAAAGTGAATTGTTAAAAAATGGTATAGTTTAAGTTTTTGAATTGTACCATGTCACTGGATTTTCAGGACATGGTATTTTAAAGATAGAATCACTTAGCATACCAAAATTAAAACTTTAGAAATTTCCAATTATAAACATGCACTGGAGAATTGGCTGTCACAGTACTTGTATGAGCATCACGAAGATCCTAAACTACTTTTAGGGACTAAAAAAATCATAAGTAAGGAGCTAGCTTCAGAGCACTTGAACTCTCGGCCTGCACAGTATCATGCCTGGGTCTGTAGCTCACTGCAGCAGGTCAGCAGCCACTTGGTGCTGTGCTTGACATGAAAATCCCAGGGAGGGAGTCTCTAGCCCTCTGTGATGGTTTGCTCCCTAGGTAAGCCACGTGAGAATTCTGTCCTGTTGTTTTGAACTGAGAAGTGATTCTGGATTTTACCTCCCATTCTGGAATCTCTTCTCCAGCTGAGGGCAGGTGAAGTAAATACACATGTGCACTATGACGAGGATGAAGTGAAAGGTTAACCTTGGGGTCCTCAAGTGGAGAGAGCTACTTGAAATGGTTTAAGACCCTCAGGGTCATAGAAAAATACCACACTCTTTTTGGATCAGTTGGCAATAAAAATTATTAACAAACTCTAGAATATTACCAGTACCTGAAAAAAACTTACAGCAGAAAACCATTAAGTAAAATGTTTCTCAATATTTGTTCTTCATTCATGTTAAAGTTAAATATCTCTCTTTATCTTCACTATTAAGATAACCAACTACGTTAGTAGTAGGAATGTGGACCCTTGTGCCTGATCTAAGGTTTACTTTGAGGATCTCAAGTATTCAACAGTGGGACAGTAACAGGAGTGAATGCTTTGACTTCAAGACAAATGTGGGCCTATAGCCTGTCTTTGTCACTTTTTGGGCAAAGTACCAGGCTGTGTCACTTCATGTGGAGAGCAGGTTAGACACAGCACTACAGGGTAGACAAAGTTTGCAGTCAGTGGTCAGTCACGGAACTGCTTCCTTGAGAGGCTTAATACTTCCCTTGAAAAGTTGAGGTTTACTGAAAAGTCTTTAAAGTGCTCATTAATATCATTTTGAGAGACCTCTGTCTCTCCCCTTTCTGGCTTTCAGTGGCATTCTCCCCAAAGCATTAGTATCTGTATACTATGGAAAGATGATTAAAATGTTGTAATTAAATTGTGTAGAGAAAAATCTAAAAATCCAGCAAGCTTAATGAAGAATTCTAGTACCATAATTAGTTTAAAATTCAGACTCTAAATTAATTGCCTCTTGAGAATCCATGAATGAAAACATTCAACAGTACTCTTGCTCTAAGGAAGCAGAGTGAGAAAAAGCGCTGGCACAAGGGGGACGGGAGGCAGGTCTGTGTGCACCCAGAGTTCACTGAGGATGCCCACATGTGGCAAGTCTCTGAGACTGAGATACTACACAGCCTGCTAGCATTTAACTCACCATCATATAGGGAGAAGTACTGAAGTTTTTCCTTGAAGCCTGAGACACCAAGAGCCTTAAACCACAAAATGATCTACTGTAGCTATGGACAGGGTAGTCAGATTTATTTCAAAACAAAAGCTTGTTGGGCTGCATCAAATGCAGGAGAAAGGAATACTTAGGGCGTGGTTAAGTTGCCAGTGTGCATAACAGTGAGGTATGCCTCAAATAAGTCTTTCAAACTTTAAAAACTGAACTAAACATACCCATGCAGTAATATTTTTTTTCAGTGCTACTAATGAAAAAAAAAATTAAAGCCTGCACTGGAAATTTACAATACGGCAGAATTTTGTGGCTCCTACCTTTTGACCCTAATGTACAGATTTTTATGCTAGGGTCTGTGTTAAAAATCTAAACATTTTCACAAGATTTTAAACATCACTGGGAAGCTAAACTTAAGAGGAAAAAAAATCAGATAAAAGTACAATGCCCGTGACAGCCAACGTCATGAAACTGGGCTGTATGAGGTTGTTTAGAAGGCTAGGGTTAAAAAGATAGACAAAAAGATTTTTAAAAATTATCCCCAAAGTTGATGCGCTGATTTGAACTTATATAAGTACACCAGATACTACAGCAAGGGGATACACTGCAAAAAAAAGTAAATCTATTTACAGAAGAGTGATTTAAAGACATTATGGTTTTCTTTACAAACAGATGTAAGAACAGAATTGTCCACTTTTTAAAAACTCTACATTTCAGCCCTCCACGGTTGTAGTCCATGGAACTGCCTGGATTAGAGGCGATTATCTGGGTTTTCCCATGTGACTCTCCAGATGAATGTCATCATTTCTTTGTCATCTGTAGCCACAGCCCTGGCTCTCCTGAAAAGTCTCCGGGCACAAGTCACAGGAGGGCAGGCTTTGACCTGTAATTAAAACAGAACCACCCAAAACAGGAGACCCACCACACCCCCATTCCAGGCCCTCCTCTGCGAGTTCAGTCATCGCTATCCGATAGTGTCTCATACTGTGCCGAGAGCAGTGGGGCAGGCTCTCGCTCCCAGATCCTGTTCTGTTGGTGAGGAGCTGCTTGGTTTACGGCAGAGGGTGCACATGCCATCGGGGTCGGTGGTGTGCTGCTGAGCATTCGCATAGTCAGAGGGTTGTAAGGAAACTGAGTTGAGCCTGACAAAAGAAAAATTGGGTTTTCATTTCATGAGCGTATTTGTTTCTTCATCCAGATCATTTGTCATGTTACATTATGAAAGCAAAATGATTGAGTTTCATCACTTAGATTCTAGCCAATAATAGGCTGTGATCAGTGCAGCTCTGCAAAGGATGAACATGAACAAGCACGAGGGAAAAGGTAGCTGAGCTCAGAAGAGGAAGCCCAAGGCTAGATTTTTAGTTTAGTCCGTACACTATCAGGTGTCTCCATGGAGAATCCAAATGGAACTTTTGAGTATTACACTGTAATGAAATGCAGTCTGTTTACACTAAGAACTCAACACTCTTTAAGAGAAGTGCAGGAGTACAGTTCTCAGAAGACCCAGGGCCTTCAGTAGACCAGTGGACATAAGAGTATGTGTTGTTTTCTGAAATCTCACTGGCACATGTTAACAAGACCAGAGTCACCTTCTGTAAATTCCTAGATTTATTGTCCCCAGATCGCCTCTACGCTCTAAACCTAAAACATATCTTTTTGTCAAGTAATTCATCTCCTGTTTGGCCTAGTAATTCCTCTCCCTAAGAGTTGAGAAGCAGCCGCATTAACCTACGCTATGTGTTTTAAACTGACACTGACAACCACTTAGGATGCAGCATGAGAGTTTTACAAAGCAAAGGCCTTAAATTACATCTAAAAGTTTACGAATAGGCAAAAAATGGAAAATATTAATGAATGTTCTTTTTTTTATAAATCAGTTTGTGTAGAAATAGTGAACTTACAGGTGATAACTCCACAAACTATTTTCCCCCGTTTCTGACTGACTTCTTAGTATTCCCCAAGAACCCTCTCTGAAGAATGTGTAGATGAAAGGGTGAAGGTGAAGGCAACTCAGGAATGGCACTTTACCTTCAGGCGTGCTTTATGAAAGAAGGAAGGTCACAGACTCCTTTGCTTTGCAATATACACAAGTAAGGAGAATGGATGACTTTTTTTTTCATAACTCTTTGTTTATGGTAATCAGGCTGTGAATTCTTAAAAATTTTGAGATTATGTACAGTTTCTAGTCTAGAAAGCAGAACCTACTGGTGATACACATAGGAATATAGTTTTCCCAAACTGCAAAAGTTTCTGGTTTTCAAAGAAGTAATAACCTAAGTACTGACACAAACAGCTTTAAGTCTGTTTTTCTCACAGTTAAGCAGTCTCCTCACCTGTGGAAGAGGGCCTGTCCTCCCAGGCCCACCCTGGTGTCTGCCTGTGGTAATCCCCTTCCGAGTGTACAGAGGAGACTGAAGAGGGCCTTTCAGTTCCTAAGTAGCCTTGCCCAGGGATGGGAGACTTAGATTTCCTGCTGTTTGATTTGCTGATAAGCTTTGGTTTGCAAACTCCTCCTAAAAGTGAAATTCAAGGTAAATTATTAATACATAGAATGTAAGTTCTTAACTTAAGAAACTACCAAAACACTGATGATTAAATAATGCTAAGTGGAAAAAGGCAGACTGGTAGCATAAAGAATACAGTCCTGGTAACTAATGAAATTGAGGGTCTGGCCCCAATAGCACAGTGATTAATGGAGGCAGTTCCCACATGACCGATCATGGTTTGAATCCTGGCCCCAACAGCTTAAAAACACTCCAGGTACAGGGTGGGGGCTGTGGCAAAGAAGGGACTATGGCATGACCAAGTGTCAAACAGGGTGCTGTCTCTCCCCCAGGCAAAAGCATATGCCCTCTGCCAATAAAAACAAACAAATGAAAAACATTTTAAAAGAAAGGGGCTGGTTTTGTGGAACAGTGTTAATGTGCTGCTCAAGAAAAGCTGGACCCCACATGGCGACTACGATTTGAATCCTCAATCTAGTCAGCCTGAAACACGCCAGGCATGCATGTGTGTGCCCAACATCCGATGAACTCCAGGACTGGAGGGAGGAGAGCACTGCATGACTAGACCCTGTGGAGGGTGCTTCTTTCTTTCTCTCTCTAGTGCATACACATACTCTGTCATAAAGGGGAAAAACTTTAAAAAAAAAAAAAAAAAAGTAAAGCCAGAATTTCACTTGTGCCAACCCAAACAAAAAAAGGTACATCCTCATGCAGTAAATTTAAAAAATGGTAACAATCAAATGGAAATTTCTCAAATATCAAAGCTTCTTTACTGGCCTTAGAGTACAGAATTTGCTAAAAAAATAAAGTTGACCAAAGTCTTAAATCCTGACTAACCTTTCCCCCACCCCCTCCCAATGCAGAGGGAGGCCAACAGAGGAGACAGTACACCATTCAAAGCACTGTGTCAATGGGACAGCTGTAGGACTGAAGTCCCATCCCATAACAGACTCCACAGAGGCTTAGCATCTTGGTGGCCTGTGCTATTTTTCCAGGCTCTCTCTAGCTGGTGGACTCAGAGGAAGCTCACAGAAGTAACCCCTGACTGGGCTCTACTAACAAAGCATTAAAAAGATCTCAGGAGAGATCAGAGCCCAGGTCACCAGGAAAACTCCTCAGCCCAGCAGAGTAATTACACCCTGCCCTTAAAAGTCACCAATATTAAACAACAAGAGGGCCTCGAGGTGGCATTTGGCAGGAACACAATCAGACCCCATGGGAGAGGTCCTGGGCCTGTCTTGGGATCTCCCTGAGCATCCTGTGTGGGCATGCACATGTGTCTGTGAGCCCAGGTGGTTAAGTGTGGGGTGTGATTCACTCACTCTGTCTCTCTCGGAAGAAATAATGAATAAATTTTAAAACATTTTTTAAAAGTGACTATATACACTTAGAATCAATTGGGAGGTAAGAGCAGAAAGGGAGGAGATAATGCTCATTTTCCAGGAAGGATAGAAACCTCTATTAAAAGTTAATCTATGAGGTGGAAACTATTTTTTATTAAAGAGATTTTTTGCTATAGGGCCTGTGCACTTGGTGGAGAGACAGAGACAGAAAGTAAGAAATCATCCTCCAGCAGGGAGGGCCACACTATAGTCCCTTTTCCAGTCTCCTCTCAGGATTTTGGGCGTACATGCCCAGTGTGAGTTTAAGTTGCCGGGCCAAGGACTCAAACTGTGGTTCACTACGCGGGAGACCAGCAACATAACCATTATGCCATCTGCTAGTCCCAGAAACAATTTCTTTAATCTTTTTAATTACAGTGAGATCTGCTTGAAAATAACAGAGGCAGTTAAACCTAAACTAAAACTGAAAGATTGCCAACTTCCAGGTAATCTTTTTTTTTTTGAGAGAGAGATTTTCACTGTAGGGCGCGTGCGCTCGCCAGACAGACAGAGAGAGACATAGAGACAGAAAGCGAGAAATCACCCCCCAGGGGGGATGGTCACGCCGCAATCCCTTCTCCTCCATTCTCCTCTCAGGGATCTTGGGCACGCACGCACACGTGCCCGGCATGAGTTTTAAGCCACCGGGTCCGGGACACGAACCGCGGTCGACTACGTGGGAATCCAGCGACATAGCCATTACGCTAACTGCTGGTTCCCTTCCAGGTAATCTTTAAGCACAAAAGGTATTAGTTCTCAAAAGATTACGGAAAAGATTATATATAAATATTAAAAGCTTAGAATCATGTTTTTTATGTGCTTGGTTTTTATCAGAATGTGTGAAACGATCTCATTCTAGTATCTTTCTTTTTTATGTGTGTCTATAGAGACACCTCTGGAGAGCAGTAGCACTCTTTAGGATTGCTTTTTGTCCCCTCTCCTTTTTATTCCTACTCTTTATAACCTAGAGTTTGCTTGTACTGAGGCTATCTTTTCTTTTTCAATAGTAAGTCATTTTCATTCAAAAACAGTATAAAACTACTTGTATTATAATTACAGTGTATGTGTACAGATAAAGACTAGATGCAAACAAAAACTGATAAGCTGGGAGGGTGACATTCTTCCATCTGCTCAGGTTACTATAATGTCTGGGCAAGTCAGACATTAAAAATTAAAAAGAAACATACAACCCTCATACAAATGAAACCTGGTGGATGCATCAGAATTTGGGGAATAAACTGGCTTTTCCTTGGGAAAGGCAGCAGAAGAAAGAGAACTTTACCTGAATGAGGTGATGGGTCCCCTTCCTCTCTCCGTGTCTCAGTGCTAGTCACGACAGAGGTGCTGGCAGCACCAGGCCCCACTCCCACAGGCTGGGGCATGACAACGCCGTGATCCTCAACTTTGTCATCAAAGCTTCCCATGAGAGCCTTCCTGATTATGTCCTCTAGACCCAGGTTACTGGCAGGATCAGCAAAAGAGTGGCCTCTAGCACTAACGGAGCCTGGAAGAGACAACCAGAAGCATTTCCACTTGTTTCTGAGAGGCAGATTGGGAAAGAGAGAAAGGACCAGTTACACACAGCACTTCTACCAGAGTACAACCAATAGCTGGCCTCTCACCTAAAACCCCCAGAAGCCCACACAAAGGCCACTCAGTCCACAAGTGACAACTCTGGGAAATGTGCTTCCTGAGTGAATCCATCACCCACACTTGTTACAGTTACTCTAGTTTTCTGCTTTCACTTTGCTAGTTTCTACATTGAGTTTCTATTCTCTGTGTTTGTTTATCTTTTCAATAGTTTTTGTTAACTCTTAGTTCCTTTCTATGCCATCTCTTCACTGACTAAATTATGTTTTGTTTTTGCATACTAGAGCAGTTCCGTGGTAAGCAGTAGGTATTCGATACATATCTGTTGGGATAACTGTGACCATACTGATTTCATATTGGCAAATAATGTATTTTGAATCTTACCTGATGTAGTAACTGCTGGCAGATTAAAGATCTCAGTTCCGGGCTGAGCAGCTGCTGTAGTTAAACAAATAGTCAAGTTAACTGAGATGTGATACACTGTAATAGAGTCCAAAAAAAGCCTACAATAAAATTAATCTTTTTATTTTCTGCCATTTTGAACTTCATTTTTCACTCATTACATGAAGCTATATGAAATAATTTTTTTTAAGGAAGTTGGGAAGTAAAAATCAAGTGGGGTAAGAAAATCAAAAGAGTAATATAGCTCAGAGAAAGGAGAGGAACTTTGCATGGCTGGAGAAAAACAGATAGGAAAAAGCTATTGTGAGAACAGGAATCCAGGCTTCCCAGTGAAGATGAAACCCTAAGTGACTCCTGCAATGACCAACAGGTTTGTGATAACCTGAGATCAGATTCAGGTCAAAGATCTACCTGGCTGAAGGATATGAAAATGACTGTGTATCCCACCGTGGCTGACTGGAAATTGCTTCTGTTTTCAGGCTACCTCTTGGGAGACTAAAGACTGCCTGCTGACTTCTTACTCTGCTGACTGCAGTCTGTAATATGCAGTTTGAATGAAACAGCAGAAGATCTGGGAACCACCCACACAGCACTGCACTGGCCAGTGCAGGAATTTGGGGACATAAATGGTGTTTCCATCACCTCTTGCACCTTGATGCTGAGACTTGTAAACAGAATGCTACGGGAAATAAGAGAGTGGCTGGCTGGCTGATGTCCCAGAGAAGAACATGGTGTTTCAGGTGAGACTGCACAGGGATGGGCTTTACCTAGGGCTGAGAGCTGTCTGTGAAGAGGGAGGAGTACAGATGCCCAGAAACTCACCTTCCTAATCAGGGAAGCTTCCAGCTGACAAGAGGAGGGCAAGGAGGAGGAAAATCCCTAGGAAGAACTACAGATGTCTGTCTTACTAATGGGCCAGGAAACATGGTAAATAAACTCAAACCAAAATAACACAGTCTTGTAGCTGTCACGAAGCATGTGGAACAGCACTCATTTGTTCATCTGACAGACGTTTACTGAGCAGTTATATACCTGAATCATAATAAAATTACATTCTTACGGAGACGATCAGACAAGACAAGGTGCTAGTCCGGCACATGTGCAGGTTCTACACCTGCAGTGCACCTTCCTTCACTGAGGGAACAGTGGGTTTTCTGAGGCCATACAAGTCACAATCACCTGGGTAGCTCTAAAATGCAAATTTTCTACATCACTGAGGCACAATAATTCACATATATAAGTACTTGAGGTGGCTGCGATGCACGTTCAAGTTTGAGGACTCTTGGTTTAAAGCAGGTGGGTAAACTGCTGCAAAGAAGGTGGTAACTGCTCCGAAATGGGAAGGGAGGTCCACGGGAGCCACTGAGGCAGACTAGACGAGAGAACTGAGGGAGGGCTGGCTGAGAAATGAGCAGTGGAGTAAAGGTCACTGTTAGGGAAGGGTGCACGAGTGTGTTGGGGGAGTGGAACATAAACTCAATCTGAGATAGTCAAGAAGCAGGTGAGATACTTGAGAACAAATGCAATCCAAGAAGACTCATGCTGCATTAAGGAGAGCTGGATGGAAAAAGCTGGCTGGATTCCAGATTCTTACCTGGGCATTTTCAGCACCAAAGTGACAGTTGAAACCCTTGGGGGCGGGGGGGATGGAATGACTCAGATTTTAGGGCAAGAGACAAAAAGGGCTGAGAAGAGAGCCCTGAGGAAAACCAAACTCATGGCGCAGACAGACTAAGCCTCTAAAGACACAGAAGTGGCCAAAGCAGAGAAAAAACAGACTAGAGAGTCTGAAAGCCAGGGGAGAGGTTCAGTGTCAAAAGCTGTGAAGAGATGAAATTAGACTTTAAAGTGGTAAGAGAAAGTCACTGGTGTCCCTGGTTGGGAACACTGAGGCAAGACACACACAGTGCAGTGAGGCTGTCTTGGCTGCTGCTGACTTTGCGTTCTCAGGTCCACTTTCCAGGGAAGGCTGACTAGCAGGTGTCCCGAGGTCCCAGGCACCTAGTTCTTTAATATAAATCTCTTCCCACAATCAGTAAGTTCATCCAATAAAAAAAAAAAAAAAGGTCTCTAAAACAGTTCTGTTAGTACTTGCATTAAGATATTAACACACTTTATGTCTGGTTCAAGTTAGGTACTTAATTTTATCATACATTTTCAGAGTAGAGACCATTCGTCATACTAAAAATAGCCAACAGGAATACTCTGCTCAGTGACTGTTGCATCCTTGAGTGAGAGCGCTACTCCCTAAGGACAATGAAAACGACGAGGTAAAAGAAGAAACCAGAAAGCAGGCCTCTGCAACTCATGTGGCATCCCCCTGCTGAGAGTTTCCTTCTCACTAAAAGCCCCGACAAGCACTAAGAGATGAGTCGAACCATATCCAGGTGAGATGACTCTCAACGACTGGTTGCCCAGGTCGCCCAGGTCTGTATGTCTCTACACACTCACAGACCACTCTCTGGGTTCTGAGAGAATCTGACATGGCAGGACCATATTTTTGTTGGTGGTGTTTGCGAAGCTATAAACAGTAGATGAGACAGTTTACTGGAGACAGAGAATTGTAAGATGGTAATATAAAAAAATAAAGGATATCTGTCAGCCTAATAGCAATTCTGGTCAACATTCTAAAATATTTATCTCTTAGATGATTTGTTGACACTTAATAAGGAATGATCTAGTTAGAGTTTACAGATAATAAGTGGCTTTGGGTTCATTCCTTTTTCTCCTTGTCATGCAACATTTATGAAGCACAGAGTGGCACAATCCAGACATATCCACCAGGCACTGCACGGCCCACAGTGACCTTTCTCTTGACAGAGTCAAGAGAGTTTGGTAGATGGTAGACCATGGAAATAAAGCAGATTGAAGAAAAGATGGCTAAGGCAGAAGGTACAACGCAGGAAAGGGGCCAAATAACAGCATGAGGAGGCTTCTGATTCGTGTGAGCTACTGGAAGGGAAGGTTCTGCCATAGAGCTTTATCTGTGGGGTGGTTACCCAAAATCTGGGTCTTGATGCTATGAGCACAGAATGTAAGGAGCATCATTAGAAACATGCATTCGAGTTGAGAGGCCTGGAGTTACTTATTAATTATGTAACCTGTGCCAGCTATTAAAACTCTGAGTCTCAGTTTCTGTATCTACAAAATGGAGGTAAGGATGATGTGCAGTATGTAGGGTTGTGAGGACATGCTTAGAAGAGTGCCTATTAAGTGCTAGGTATCTTTTTGCTACCATTATTATTGATGCTACCATGTTGTTAGATGGTCCGTTTGTATCAGAGTTGCATATGAATGCTACATGAATGACTTGAGATCCAGAAGGATACTGACAGGGTAGAAAATGCAGTTAGAGGCCAGTCCATGGTGTGGTAGTTCAAGTAGCTAGATCCCACGTGGCCTACTGTGCGGGTTGAGTCCTGGACTTGGTGGCTTGAAAAACACACGGGGTACATATGTGCATGTGTGCCCCAAGTCCTGACAGAAGGCAGAGATTGAGGAGAAGTGACTATGGTGTGACCGTACCACATGAGGGGGAATGCTTTCTCACTTTCTCTCCCTCACCGCCCCCATGAGAGCATCTTTCTACCCTCCAGCAAAATTAGAAAAAGAAACGCAGCTGGAATAAAGCAAGCGTAGACTGCCTTGTCCCAGCATGTGGAGCTAGCAATTGTGAAAGGGAATCGGAGTGTGCGTGATGAGTAACCATCAAAAGGCCTGGACATCTGTTTTGGTGCCAAGTGCACCCTCACTCAGTGCACTGTTGCTCAGATTGACAACGACAAAGCTAAGACAATCAATCTTAGGCTACCTCAGTGATGAACTTAAGATAGATCATATCATACTGCTGTTTTGCATTACTCAGAACCTACTAGAAGGCTAAGCTAAATAAAAGGTTTTGGTAGGGAGCACTTGAGATGACAGGGGAACTCGGAGAACATGTGATGAACAGCTGATGAAATGGGCTATTTATAGACACAAGACTGATAAAGGACATGCCTTTAAATGTCTGAAGAAATGTGTGGAGGTGGCCCAAATGCATTAACTAAGATGAGTGGGTTTAAAAAGAAAACACTAGGAAGAGTTAATCCACACCAGAAAAACTATCCTAGACATAACATTTTGTACAAAGAGAAAATAGACAGGTAGCTCCATAGAGAACACACGGGGTACATATGTGCATGTGTGCCCCAAGTCCTGACAGAAGGCAGAGATTGAGGAGAAGTGACTATGGTGTGACCGTACCACATGAGGGGGAATGCTTTCTCACTTTCTCTCCCTCACCGCCCCCATGAGAGCATCTTTCTACCCTCCAGCAAAATTAGAAAAAGAAACGCAGCTGGAATAAAGCAAGCGTAGACTGCCTTGTCCCAGCATGTGGAGCTAGCAATTGTGAAAGGGAATCGGAGTGTGCGTGATGAGTAACCATCAAAAGGCCTGGACATCTGTTTTGGTGCCAAGTGCACCCTCACTCAGTGCACTGTTGCTCAGATTGACAACGACAAAGCTAAGACAATCAATCTTAGGCTACCTCAGTGATGAACTTAAGATAGATCATATCATACTGCTGTTTTGCATTACTCAGAACCTACTAGAAGGCTAAGCTAAATAAAAGGTTTTGGTAGGGAGCACTTGAGATGACAGGGGAACTCGGAGAACATGTGATGAACAGCTGATGAAATGGGCTATTTATAGACACAAGACTGATAAAGGACATGCCTTTAAATGTCTGAAGAAATGTGTGGAGGTGGCCCAAATGCATTAACTAAGATGAGTGGGTTTAAAAAGAAAACACTAGGAAGAGTTAATCCACACCAGAAAAACTATCCTAGACATAACATTTTGTACAAAGAGAAAATAGACAGGTAGCTCCATAGAGGAGCAAGTTCCTGTTCTTTTTTTTATAATTATTTTTTAAACGTTATTTATTTTTAATTTGAGCGGAGAGGGACAGTGTGAGAGAGAGAGAAAGGGAAAGTGAGAAAGCAAGCCACCAGGTCTAAGACCTGAACCACAGTCAGCCATGTGGGAATCTAACGCCCCTCACCCACCACGCCATCTGCCGGCCCCAACAAGTTCCTGCTCTGTTTTTTTTTTTGGAGAGATTTTCACTGTAGGGCGCGTGCGCTCGCCAGACAGACAGAGAGAGACATAGAGACAGAAAGCGAGAAATCACCCCCCAGGGGGGATGGTCACACTGCAATCCCTTCTCCTCCATTCTCCTCTCGGGATCTTGGGCACGCACGCACACGCGCCCGGCGTGAGTTTTAAGCCACCGGGTCCGGGACACGAACCGCGGTTGACTACGTGGGAGTCCAGCGACATAGCCATTACGCTAACTGCTGGTTCCCAACAAGTTCCTGCTCTTAATTAGCAATTCTTCATGAACTGCCACACATCTGAGAAGGAACTTTAGGGTCAGATGTGTTGGACAGATGCCCTATAAAAGCCTTCAAACTCAAGGATTACAGGAGAGGAAACATTGGAGGATCATTATTAATACACATTTTATTTGGGGTTCATGAAAGAAATCCCACTTACCCATATCAGAGTCACCTCCACCAGAGGAGTTCAACTTACGAAAAATCTCCTGCTTCTTTGATTTAACCATGGGTGATGTATTTTCAAGCTTGGTGAAGAATGAAGGCAAGTAGCTTATACTCCCTGGTGAGCGGGAATCATTCCTGGTAGGAATACAGTTATATCTGTTATAATCCCATACTCCTCACCCTGGGGCTGTTCTATCAATGATGAGTCATCAAGTACCTGGAAGACTTATCACCTCCCCACCCAGTGTTTATGGTTACAACTCCAAGAAATACTATGTGCCTGCAAGCCAGTTAGTGCATCATTTGAGGACACAGTCAAATACTGTAGCTCTGAAAGATGAAATGATACAATCTAGAGCAGAGATTCTTACAGGGTGAGTAAGAAGCAAATAAAGATTAAGAGAAGCTCAGAAACAGCTTATCTTGATATTCTCTGCTGAACAGCACAAATGCTGATAGATATTTATGGTTACTACATATTCTGGAGTGCACTAGAATTAGAACAGCACAATTGCCTATAAAATAGCAAGAGGCCATACCTAAGCAATCAGTAGTTCAATAGAATAGCTAAAGTGATAAATCTTTTTACAGTCATTTCAAGTTACCTAACAGATGAGTTTAATGTAAACAGTTCCCCATTTTACTGGCAGCTTCCTATATTGACACATTTTTAAAAACAAGTTTCCCCTAACAGTTCAAGGGCACCAAGGATCTGGTAAGAGCCAGAGTGGATAACAGAACACAGAGAAAGAAGGCTGCTGATAACCTAGTCTACAGATTCACTCATCTTTCAAACACAAGAATACTCACTACAAACAAGACACAGTCCCCGTTCTCAACTCAGGAAAAACATGTAGATGTATGATTTACCATCATTCCCTCTGTAAAAAATGGATTTTCTTCCTCATTTAATTGGAAGGTACCAACATCTATTTGTTTGCCTCTGACTATACACAGTTAAGTAATAACACATTGTAGAAAAGGCACTAGCAGTTGAACACTGGACAGGCCTTGGTTTAAGACTGCACTTCTCCCCCTTTATTTTCAGTATGACCATGGGCATGTCATGACTTCAGAGTACCGGGAGGGTTCTTCAGAGCACCGGGAGGGTTGGCCACACCTGAAGACAGCATGAGTATCAATAGAAAGGAATTTAGGGAATCACATGAACAGCATAAGGGTGAACTGGCAGGAAATGGAAGTTGGGTGGCCAGCATAAACCTGGCTACCAGGGAGCTCAAACGCCATGCTGAGTGCTTGCATGTGCATGAGTTTTAGACAAATCACTCTGGAGTCAATATGGAGAATGACTGGAAAGGGGCCAAATCAAAGGCATTTAATTCAAATGTGAATTAAAATCTACTAGTCAATAGGGTCGGGGTCAGGATTAGAAACAGGTAAGCTAAAATGTGCAAAGCACAGTAATAGCACAACTGGACCCAGATAGATACAGTCCTGGATTTGTATCCGGGGACCTCTTGAGCACGCAGGGTACAGGCATACACGTCTGTGGTCTTTGCATGCCTATGACGAGGACCAGCTGAGACAGGTGGATTGTGCTGTGACTACTCTATTAAGGATGCCTCTGTTCCTTCTGAATACAATCCACAATGCTTGGTATACAGTAGTAAACATTCAAATGTTGGTTAGATCAATAGGTGACCCTCCTCTGACAGATAGGCTTTTAAGAATAATCTAGAGAATTTCATTTCAAAAACATTTTCTGTAACCTATTTAAATATCACAACTTTTTCAGTAAAACCCAAATTAGATCACCAGGAAAACATGTTAAATGAGTCTCTAAAAATCCTATCCCAACATACATATACGCCAAAAAGAGAAAAAAGGCACTGACTTAAGGAAAAGTGAAGGCACTGCCCAGCCATCACCCCCACCAGGAACAGGAAATATACAGCCGCTGGAAAGTGTACTCACTCCTCACCTCTGCTCGGCAGGCTCTGCTCCCCGCTGAGCCAAGAGCAGCATGCTGTCCTGTTTCTCATGCACGACTGGAACCTGGGGCGGGGAGATGGGCTCGTAGGGCTCTGACGAGACATG